AGCATTCGCGACGCAGTTGACGAACATCGTTCGGTCTGTCAACAGTTTAGTATATAAAAAATTTTTCTAGAATAGCTTTTTCTAGAAAAATTGTTAAAGAAGACGATGTCGGTTCAGAATAAACCGATGTCGTCTTCTTTAAATGGGATGCTATGCTAATTCTTCTTTTTTGAATAACTTTTATCAAACTGGATAGCATTTACTTTGAAGCATTTCTTGATATACTTAATAATTAACGATTAATGATAAAAGGAATATTAAAGGAACAAATACGTGCAGGCATCGAAGGAGAATTAAAACAGATGTATTTTGCCATAAAATTAATTTTAATAAATATTCTAGTTATTAGTGGCATTTAGAGAGAATTAATCTTTTGTTGGTGTTACCATGATTTTTGAGAACATGAATTTGATTCTACAACACAAACAGTTTAAGGATTTTCAGCAATATCGGGGCAGTTCAACTACATATTTACTTACATTTTATTTGTTGTACAGGGTGTTCCAGTTGAGACATGCGGATCTTGAGATGAGGATCATCAATGATAATTGAAGAATACACATTACAATTACTTAAAATAAAAGCAACTCTACAAAGCAGGTCACTTAACCCTTTAACTGCGGGTAATTTCAGCACAGCCGATTACATTTATTAACATGTTGTTTATATACCACACCCGCCTCTGGCTATAATTTTAGTATGTGGTTTATAAACCACATTCGCAGTTCTTCTTTGTTTATTATTACATGAGAAATGTTTTTGGCACAATTTCAAGGCTTACTTTTAAAATATAATAAAATTTATTATTTTGGAATTTATGTGGTTTCTCGCTCTTCATTCATTGTTAAAGACAGAAAATGAATATTGCTTAAATCTTGTGATACCTACCGAAAAAAGAATTTTATAAATCATTTCTTAACAAAGATTTTTCATTAACAAAATAAAGTTTCAATTAAGAACAAGAAAAGGTATAAAATTAATTTGTAAGCCTGATAATATGTATTAGATTTAACCTTTTAAATAAAATTCAGAATTACTTAAATTTTATTTACTCCAAAATCATAATAAATAAATATACATGTTGTCAATAGGACAAAGAAAACCAATACATTTTTGTAGTTATGCAACATGCGTACCTATTTTGTAGCTAATTTTTTACTTTCAGAATTTGAAGTTTTAGTAGCATTTGTATGAAACAGATAAATTTGAAACAAAAACTCGAGTTCTACAGGGTCTGACCTAAATTTCATTTTATTTATTGCAAAAATTTATCTTACCAGAGAGCGTTAACATCCATGCACCACCGTTCGTGCAAGTATTGCTCCAAATATTTCCACGTTGAAAAGAATGACGTATAACAAATTTTTCATCATTTAAACTGTTGTTTCCATGCAGTATTGTATAACTCCGGTTTCATTGCTTTCATTTTGTCGCGTGCAATGTAATCTCTATCAACGTTCAATGAGGAAGCATGTGCTGAAAATCTGTACAAAATGCTGACATCGATTGTCGTTTGAACACGTATCTTTAAATAATGTCATTCTTTATGACGAGAAAGAGTATTTTTATAGAATTATGTAATTGTTTATTTTTCCAATTTAAAATAAATAGTGCTCGTAATAATAAAACAATACTATACTTTCTTCAGCGAAGTTTTAACCATAATTGTGGTACTCTTCAGATTTTATTAATGTTACATCTAGCGCCAAATCAAAGAGGGTCTAATACCGCAGGCCTCACTTTTCAGGAGAAACCCATTTTAAGCTTCCAATTTACTATGTCAAAAAATAGGGAATGAAATTTTTTCATTGTTACTGTTTTTGGTATAACTTTCGTTATGGTGGAAGAGCGGCACTAGTATACATGCAAATCCGTGTGAAAGGCGAATCGCTCATCTGGTAATATAACGAGAGTCTACTGGAAATAAATCGGACTAAAATTAAAATATGTGTCTTCTCAATGTTTGGTCTTAAATATTATTTACTTGTAGATCAATTTTCTTTATGATTGAATGTTATCTAATTTTATTTAGAAGAAATTCTAATTTTTGAATCAATTTAATCAGCCAAGAGGCCTCTCAATGATTTGATAGCCCCGGGCTCAAGAAATCTTAGTTCGGTCCTGGTTACATCTTTACTTTTATTTCCCTGTATTTTTACAAAAAATCTGCAGTTTTATCCTTATTTGTTTTTACATAAATTTTATAATTTCCATTTTCTATGTTTTTACATATATCTCAAGTTTTTTTCATATTTTTATGAATTCTATTTTTCTATATTTTTATTAGTGCAGTAATAATGATGTCCACTGTGTATATGTACATGCATGTATATGTACTTACATATGTACACAAGAGGGTTGTACATGCTTATTGCTCTAAAATATTACTATATGTGCAAAAGTTTCCTTAGAATGAAAACTCAGAAAAAAGTAATTAAATCTTGTGTTGACGTGACGTACGCACAGTTAATGATAACAAGCGTAAAAGAAAATGCTATTTCGCTTAAACATATAGTTATGTTGCAGGAAGTTGTTGAATTTAATTGGTTTGTTTTGTTATACCTACTCTTTGCAATTATAAAGAAGTAATTAAAATTAATTCACGGTAAATTATGAAACTTACGAAAGTGTATCATTGTTAACCACGATGACTTTCCTTCTACTCCAATTTCTTGGTTAATATTTTACTGGTTTAATGATCATTTTATGATTATCTTATTAAATATTTATATGGAAGTACATACGAAGATGCACAAGCTTATTTTGCCACAAAAATTATTAATCAATAGAACCAAGAATGGAAAAACTTAAAAAATACGACGCTCTATGAAATGAGGGACCTTTACTAAAAATCCATCTTATTAACTAATCAGACCCCACCAAATCATCATTAACAGACTGCATATAGGTCACTCTGTATTGACCCACAAGCACTTACTACAGAAAAATGATCCTCCAAAGTGTTTAAGATGTGATACTCAGCTAACAGTTAAACACTTATTGCTCGAATGCGAAAAATTCAAAACCTTAAGAGAAAAACACAAATTAGCCAAGGATATCAAAATTTGCTTAGACCAAACTCAAGAAATAGACAAAGTTTTAGGATTTATCATGGATGCAGAGCTCAAGAAAACCTTATAAACTACAACGTTTATAATGTATTATTAACTTCATATGTACATAGGTACACGTACAAACGACACTCTATCCTGATCACATATGTATGTATAATAACTGTACTAAGCTCATGTAATTAATGTAAATGGTGGTCGCTAATGGTATCTAGTCGATGCGATATTAAATAAACTAACAAAAAACAAATTTATATGGAAGAATATATTGAAAACATATGTGAAGTATAAACATAATTTGCTCTTATGATAATAATCAATGTTATTAATGCTTTTTTAAGAAAATGGTACATATAGCTTTCTCACCGGAAAACTTTTTACTTGTTATCTTATCAAATTGGTTATTTATATTTGATATGAGAACATTGACTGAATAATATTTTGAGCAAATTGAGCAAGTGGTTAATTCGAATGTAAACAATTTGTATATTAAATTTATAAATTAGTTTTGTAGGCATACAATATTCATGTACCTACTGTAGACCGACTGTAGACTAATGTTTACTAACATCTGGCCTGCCGTGTCCTCGAGCGAAGTTTTGTACGGACACGGCAAGTAAAAGGCAGTTCCCTGACGACAGTCGAGTCGAACAGATTAATAAAGATAAAGACGGTGATACCATTAACATCTACTAAAAATCATTTATTTTCCTTCCGCTCAATACAGCCTCCTACAGTTTGGTGCCTCTGCTTTTTTTATAGTAGATTTATTTCTAAAATGTTAAAGTCAATTCGATTATGAAAATAATCGCTGTTGTTATAATGCTATTGTAATTTTGCACCACTTACCAGTAGTATTTTAGATCCACAGAGTGCGGGAAAATATCCAAATTTAAAAATATAATTGAGAAATTGCAAATAGGAATGTCCAAATTCCAAACAGTAATTGAAAATTACTTAAATTTACAGTATAGTAGTTAAGAATATTTAAATTTAAAATAGTAACGTTAAAGGCACCGAATTAATTCGTAAATCCAATATAATTAAAATAGCATTCAAATATTTTATTGTACTATGTATTATGAGTCATCAAACTAATTATAAAAAATCTTTACCCTTTTACGGATTTAGAAAAAAATGATCATGTTTCATTCAGAAACAAAAGATACGTAAATGAAAAGAGGCTAATACTTGTTAAAATTATTTTCACACTACATTTATTTTGTTTTGATATTTAGACATATAGTAGTGTCGAGCGATGTTGACTTGGCGACGGTATCACGCAGACTTCTTTTTCCGGCCTCGCTCGTGCTCCCAAATATCCTCCGTATCCGTAACCCTGGAACGATTTAGGGAAGTTGTAATTAATTATGTAATATCCTTGAATATATTTTGTAGGCTCCACTTTTCAAGAACTAACCCTTATTACTTCAACCGGCAGTAGTTCATGTGTTTGCAACAGTTATACAGAATCTTCTCAATAAACAACCATCTTATCAAAATTATATCGCGATCTTCCATAAAACGTTAAGATATAGAAAATTTACACCAAACTGGCTGGCAAATGTGCTATAACATCCTTGCACTGTTACGGATTAAATCGTAAGGTAGCAAGTGCAAAGTTTGAATTGAGAAATGAAACAATCACTTACAATTAGCATGCTGTTACACATTCGTTTCCGCTACAGTATTTAATCAGTTAAACGTTTATAGTTCGTTTTCGAAAACACATTCCCTCCTCAGATTTTATCTTTTCAAATAACAATATTACTAATATCGCTATCATAGACTCGTGATCGGCAAGAGGCTACTGGAGACGTATCGCACATGCGCGGACGCATGCCTGCGCTGGAATCCGCGGCGCTGATTGGTCGACGTCAGAACACTCAAGAACTGCCAGCATACGGCTACGACTTGTACAACCAGTCTCGCGCCGAGCGTCGTTCAGTGTGTATCGTTCCAGAAGGTGATTTGTGTACATCGAATCAGTGAGTTAAAAATTTCCGCGAACTCGAAACGAACTATCGTGTGTGCGTGACAGACGCGTGACATTTCTTGCGCGGAGAGAGCGAAAATACAGGATTAATTCATTTGCATCCAACGATCAGGAACAATTTAAGGTTAGCATACCTGAGTTTACGTAGTTGTGAAAAAGAAGAAAAAAATATTGTGCAATTCAAAGCGTATGCGAACGTTGTTTACCGTTTGACTTGTGTTGTTTTAATTTTCATTTTGCATCTTGTATTTCCATTATGTTTGATAGGCAAGAAAAAAGCATTTTATTCTTCGAAAAATAATTTATGATTTACATTGTACACCGTAGTGACGTTATTGTACTTTGCTTGTGTCTTCTTAATTATACGAGTTTCTGCTTCTTTTTTAACGTTTATATTAAAGTAAAAACTGTCGTCGTTGTTAGTCGTTATTTTCTACTTAACGAAGAGTTACAAGACCTCTTCCCTCTATAGGAACTTGTTAGTCTGAAATTCAACGCTTGGCTACTCAAGACGAGTACGATTGACAATCAGCCGTGCAATTCTCTTCAATTCAGACCGCAACTGCGACAAACTTTGATAATTAAGCTGTTTGCTCGAGTATGCTTATTTTCGCGATTGGCAATAACATTGCAGAGACATTTCTACTGATTTTCGATAGATAAGTACTTATCGATTCTTACCTGTATCGATAAGACAAATACTATATAGATCGTTCTTTCATAATTCATTGATAATCATCGTTTAGGTATCAGAAACAGATTTTGTTTGTATAACTTTAAATTTTACACAATATAGAATTCTTATTAATAATAAAATTGAAAATAAAATTTAAATACTTTATTTAACAGAGAGTTGATTTGAATTATTTGGAAAACGTATTCGTATTTTAGTACAGAATCATATTTTTTGCTTTTATTTTAACCCTTAGAAGACGGATGCTCTATGGCTGACGTAGTAGACAAATACGGGGCCGGTTTTACCCGTAATCAGGGGTGCAACCATAATTGTCCTATAGGGGGTCACAATATTTTGTCCTCATCTTATTAGTATCGTGATAATATAGGATTTTATTAAAATGGATATAGATAACTACGTAGGTGTTATTCGTCGTGGTTTAGCGTCTAGCCCGTTTGTCGTCGTTTCGTCAATTATTATTTCCTTCATGTCCGACCGTGTCGCAACCCTCTCGCGACTCCCCTCCCACTTATCATTAGTAACGAATTCCGGAATATTCCTGATCGTCGTTGAACGAACCAGAATCTTATTTCCTACAATAATATTAACACTTACCTGGTACTGTGGGGTATGAGACGACCCCAGGTAATTCAGCTTTTGGCTAAAATCCTTTCCAAATAAATACCTTTTTTTGAAACTACGACTTTTGTACTATTCTTTCGTTTAAAATGTTCAATCTCAAGAGTATCCGGCTAAAATTTTAGCTCTTTATATGAAAATTTGAAAAAGTTATGAATTTTTTATGGAAATTCATTTTTTAAATTTCTTTTCAACGTTTTCAATATTATTTTTCATATTCAGTATTTAATTTTATTAAAATTAGCTATGAAATATGTTAAAACAACTTTCAAAGATTATTTAGGAATTTTTTCAAGTTAAAATAATGAATAGCTTCTCCACAAGAAATATTTTAGTTGTTGAGGTTTTAAACGTCCGAGTGTGCCAGCCAAGTTATTCTGGTGAAGTGTGCCAGTTAAATCTAAATTTCTTAATTTTTTATAATATCATTTCCAATGTTTTCTGAAATTTCAAAAATCATTTAAAAAAGATTTTTAATTTCTTAATAAAGAAATCTCTAGTTACATTCCTGCTCATAATAATATTATAATCGTGTACAATATTTAAAATAAATTATGTATGCACATTGAAAGAGGTATACATACATACAATTTATATTGGATCAATGTTAAAATTAAATTTAAACTCTAAATCCTATATTAGGTTAGTAAAAGTTAATTAACCTTCATGCGCCAAATATCGGCTCATTTTGACCCAACGCGACGTGTTACTGTAGAACCTTGATTAACCGGTCTAATTAGGGGACACTGGACAATCGAGGAAAATGATTTCAGAAATCGCGGTACTAATGAACAGGAAGTATACTTATTGTGGAAATAAAAGAAAAATGTAGCAAACAAATGTATACTGTTAATAAATTCCTTTTGTTACTGAACCCTCCAATAATCAATTCGGATGATCGAGACCGCGGATAATAGGGATCCGTTTAATCGAGGTTCTACTGTATTGTATATCAGTCAAAATGACCCTGCATTTGGTTTTTTATGAGGTGTATAAATTGCTGTTCGTATAACCTTAACACGTTGAATGCCATAGGGGCCCGGCACCGCAAATTAGATGTAGTTGAATAATTAAAGGGAAACAATAGAAAAATATTACTTTGAATCGCATTGCTATTATACTAATAATGTAAGGTAGCAAACAGAAAGTTTGAAAATTCCTATAAATATTTAATAATTAAATCTTCAATATCTTGAATAAATATTCATTTCCATTCTGATACTAAACACATTCAATTTTGCTACAACTAAAATTTTTAAATTTTACAAATGATACAGAATTTATGAACAGTAAAGTTGAAGATGAAATTTAAATAATTTGTTAGGAAATTAAGTTCACTTATTTAGAAAAAATAATTATATTTCACACAAAAGTATATTTTTTGTTGTGCAGTTTTTATCTTAATTAAATTGAAATTATATACAAGTGCATGCTGCAGTGGTTAAAAGAGATATCCTTTTGGTCTCTTTTATTTTAACATGTACTACTCGATTTCTGCAAGGCATATGTTCAATTAGTAAAAGGAAGAAAATAAATCATTAGCTGCAATTACGGTGCTGAGGTGATTTTTTGTGAAATGCTCTAATTGCACTTTATTGATAGATTATGTAATATGTTATTTTGTAATTTGAAATACATACGTAGTCGCATAATTATGATGGGAACGAAAGTGTTAAAATTGAAAGGGAATGCCTTTGCATACAACTTTTTTTGGAGCACTTTATGTACATAAATTAGTTTATACATATATTAATTAGACAACAGAAAGATGATTTGTAGATTTTTCAATAAATTTTTAAGAGAAGTTTATTTTTATATCAATCATAAAAAAGATTTTACGATATTTGAATAGATTTTGATTTATTTTGTTAATTTAACCATTTTTATTAGGTTTCAATAAATTTTTGGAAAAAATTTATTTCTATATCGATTGTGAAAAAAATTTTATGATATTTGAACTTTATATGTGTTTCCAAAAAAGTTTGATTTCAGAAAATCTAAAGGTACTAAAGATTATAATACAGTCTTAATAATTTTTCATAAAAAATCAGAATTATATTTAACGCGTTAACTAACGTTGATTACGAAATTAATGAGTTTCTTACGTAGGCCAAGCAACAAGTTTTTTTAAAAGAAAGATTTCGATATCGACATACTTATTTGGTTATCACAGACTAATGAAGTTTAAAATCGTTTAGAAAACAATGTGTTAGAAAGTACCACAAGTAAAGAGCATAAGTAATCATAGCAACCGCAATTGCAAATGCGCAAAGAACGGGAAGTTAAATTGAACTCAGTTAGTACAGTTATAAACACGCAGTTAATGTGTTTATCAGATGCAAAATCAAATACACATGTAGACGTCTGGTAACACTTTTTTTTGTTCAGAGAGTATACTTTGTTTTGTATATCTTCAATGTTTGAGTTTTAAATTTTGATTTTTTCATATTTTGATATTTTAATACTTCGATAGCTTGGTACTTTGAGGCTTCGATATTTTGAATATTTTTATATTTCAAGTTGACGAAGTTATGAAAGTTTATATCTTTCTGAAAATACACTTTCTGAAAGTACACTTCGCAGGATTCGCAACAATACAATTCTATATTTTTTTATGTTTAAATTGATTCTTCGAAACGTTCTATACATTGTAAAAATACTGGAGTTAAATATCTATAAAATTATAAACTAAGATATTTTAGATTTATTTGAAATTCAAAATTCAGATATTTCTTACCAAAATTTTAAATTTCTCACAAATAGTTGATTTTCTTGATATTTTACTCGATAAAACAGTTTTTTTTTTACGCAAAAATACATAGCGAATATGAATGTTTCAAAAAGAAGATAAACTTTTGTGGAATAATGTTAGGTATAAAATAAGATTAAATATTTCTCAGATAAGAAATGTTATGTTAATGACTTGCTCGTGATAATTCATCAGTGTCACCTCTAACATAAGTCCAAATCGAACAAAAGTGCTTTATTTAAAGCGTAACAAAATGAACGATTAAGTATTTGCTATTAGGTAGATACTGATAACATAAGAAAAGCTATTTTTAGATTTATTAATTAGTATGTACATGCACCTACTTTAGCTGCGACAATGCTTCAAGTACAATTGCAAAAATCATAATGTAAATTAATCGTTTGTATCTAATATAATGACATACGTCATAAACTCTCTTTTCTAATAATTCTTTAATCTTTGTAAATCTTTAATTTTATATAACTTTAGAAACCAAGTTTAATAAATCTGACTATGACGATCTAGGTGTGTCAATATGAGGTGATTTATTACTTTATTGGTCTCATATTTTTCTTTTTATTGCTAATGCTATGTCTTCCAAATAACACAACAAAATATTTCCAATAAAATTTCAAGATCAAGGAGCATTTGCTTGACTAGAGAAGCAACATAGGACCTCATTATTATGGAGCAAAATGTTTCCACATTGTTTCTTTGCATAAGTTAAACATTTCTTTCGAAGTGTCTGATTCAAATAAATCAGTTGCCATTTGTATCATTCCACTGTAATCATTTGATCCGATGGAAGCAACTCGTAACAAAGTACCACCTATTCACTCCACCTGACAGAACAGTAACTTAAATTCATGGATATTGTATCTTGATGTTGATGTAGACAATTTATTGCGCTTAGAAATATTGCAATAGGTCCATCTTTCTTGGTCACAAAAGCCTCTTTAAGAATGGGAGACGATGATTTATACGCTGTTCACCATGATCCTTGGTCAACTGATATGGCCCCCATTTTCTTTCCTTCTGTGTTTCGATTGTAAACAATGATTTAAACAGTATTTGAGTCACTTTACGTTGATACTAGGGCGGGATTTTATCTAGAAGTGCCTGTGTGCCATTATTACCACAATCTAACCCAGAGGCACTACAGTCAGAATCTGGCCACGATAAATCCATTATTAATTGATTCGACATTTTTTATCTATTCCCACTGATTTTTAAATCTCTCAATTATAGTACTTTTAATTGTAACACATACTTTAAAAAATAAATGTTCGAAAGTTAATAAAGGAATTTTAATTATTTATAATATCTGTGTATCTTAAAATGTGCAATTAATCATTTATCCTCCTCTAAAATAATATAACATATTTTATAAGAGTTAACCATATGAGTTCAAGAGTCAAGAGTGAAATATAGCACAGCGTATATTTCTTTTTCTCTCGGAAAATTCAGCCAAAACTAGACGGATATTAGGTTACGTGAACCCGATTTTGAAAAAACTAATTTTGTTTTACGGAAAATGATAGTGTTTTGTTTGTAGTTGATTGTAGTAACAATAGTTTCGTTTGTAGCTTTATCAATTAATAAATAAAAAAAATTGAAAAAATGACTCGCATCTGACATTGAGATATCTCAAATTCGCTTGGGCCGTGTGCTTTAGCATCGTTTATAATTGTTTGTAGTGACTTCCCTTTCGTATGTAGATTAAAAGTTATAAGCAATTGTTTATACGCCTAAAAGCCATGCTTTTTTGAGTTATAAAATTTATACAAATATAATTAAATAAATACGCACACAATTAAATTTGTACAAATTTTTTCAATATCAGGTGCGAGCCATGTTTTTAATTTTTTTTATTTATTAATTGATAGAGCTACAAACGAAACTATTGTTACTACAATCAACTACAAACAAAATACTATCATTTTTCGTAAAAAAAATTAGTTTTTTCAAAGTCAGGGGCCAGGTTCACAGAGCCCAGACATTAATTCATAGCCACATTCTGATTACAGTGTTTCTAATCTAAACTTGACCATGGGTACTTATGTATACACCTAATACAGTAGACTCTGGTTATATTGCCACATGAGCAATTTAGCATTCACATGGATTTTAAAGCATACCAGTACCACATTTTCACCATTATAGAATACTAGTACCACCTTTTCACCGTAAAAGAATTATTTTTAATAAGTAAGATTATTAATGTATAAACATTTCTAATCACGTTGCAATCTACTATATAATTATATACTAAACTAGGTGATAGATAGACATATGATGGGAAATGTAGTAATGTATGTGCAAGATGATAGAATCATGGATTTTTATCGAAATTTTTAATTCACTTTTATTGTACCCAAATCCATTTTTGATGATCATTATGCAGTAGACTCTCGTTATATTGCCACGTGAGCAATTTGACTTTCATATGAATTTTCAAACATACTAGTGCTACTTCTCCACTATCATAATCTATGAAAATAATACACTTCTATTTCCTCTTCGTCCTTTAAATGAGAGTTTAAAAATCTGATAAATTTTCCACTCCTGCAGTCCCGTTAGAGACAATATACCGAGAGTCCAGCGTAGCGTTCCCATTATTTTATCATTTTATACGAAAGGTCTAAGGAAAGGAAAGCAGCAATTGCTTAGAACCGCTCCCACAAGCAACCACGATCAAACCGCACGAACCTAACCTAAACCGCGTCCCAGCCTTCCTAACTCCGTTCTCGATAAGATATCACGTCGACAATATCTAATCCCTAATCGTCAAGCCCAGCGCGTCGTGTTAGCCCCTAAACATCTCTCGTATTTCCACAACTCAGTTACCTCGCCACGAAATTAGCCCCGCGCTGCAGTGTATCAAGACTGCAGTTAACCCTTCGAGCTTTGCCCTAAAACGACGGATGCAAACTAGCTCGACAATAAAGGCTCTCCAGCCAATTTACCGTATTCGCGGATGCAGATGGAGTAAAGGAAGGACATTTGTTTCGTAGATCGCAACGGAAGTCGTCGGTGAGAGTAAGGTCCGTGTAAAAGTGGCAGGAACACGCGTCGCCATGGGTACCGTGTGTTGTGGCCTGCGGGTGTAGTGCGAACCCCGTAATCGTGGGGAAGAAACGGACGAAACGAGAAAAAAAAACGGGAGAGAAAGGGCAGAAGAGAGAGAGAGAGAGAGAGAGAGAGGGGTGAGAGTGAAAGGAGCAGGAAGAAGAGGAACGTAGAACGCGTGGACAAGCGGGATCGGCTAAACTTTGAAAGACTGCTCTTCTGTGGCTGACGACAAGGATAGGGGTAGCAGAGGAAGAGAGAAAGAATAATGCGGACTCGTTGCTTCCGCTTTGATCAACAGGACGTTCGGATCTGCTCGTAGTAAGTACAGAAAATGAATTTTTTTTCAACGATTTGAACATATGTGCGTTTTTGGATTTTGGGTGAATTTCTAAATTTTATTTTTATTTCTTATAAGTAACATTACATTAACTTTACCATCTTATTAGCGATGAAATATATTAATTGAAAAATGTCCTCACCTTTTTTTTCAAAATTAGAAACTTTAGTTTAATTGAATGAATATTTTTTTTACATTTTGTTTTGTGTAAATTATTTGTTGTAGGGTACTAAATATTTGCACTAATACAGTGCTTTCATAAAATAAAATTACGTATTCTATAGTGCTTTTTTTCATTATAAATGGGATATTCTAACACTAGAGTTCTTTAACTCTAGAAAGACGTAAATCAATATAACAAATTTCGAAAAGTTATTTATCTTTAGTTATGCTCTCAAAATTAGTATTGAATAACTTAGTGAAAATATTATTTAAAAAATTAAGCATTAGGAAACAAAGTATACAGGGAATCCTAATTTCATAATTTTTGAATTCTTAAAATTTAAGGGTGATCGAGGCCCACATTTTGGGGGGAAAGGTCAGGTCCACCCTCGCCCTTACCTAATTATACCAATGGTATTAAACTATATAAATCATTTTAAATATACTATATAGTTATAACGTTCTGTATTTAATTTTGTATATAATTCCCCAATGACTGCTTTGTTTCTTCATTTTCTCCATCGAGTGTACAGCTTAGCTTACTGATAATCCGTGTACATACATAAATAGACAAAGGCAAAATGAATTTCGCATAATCGTTACTTTCCCTGTAGTTAAGTATCTCAGACATGAAACTCGTTGAAAGAATCCTTATCGATCACAAACCATACGTAAGTAGGTATTTGAATGAACGAGCCGTGTCGTAACGGTTTATAGGACTTGTCACGACCTGTACTGTATGTACTTTCTATTGACCGACTATTGGTCTAGTCGCTAAACTCTCCTGGAAACATCCTTGAATATGTTGGTACCACTGAGCCTCGTCCAGTTATCTTTCTTTATTACAAGACTTGGCGGTTAACTTTGCGGTCAATTGTCCTCGCTTGCAGTTTCCACGTCTTATTTTTAACTTTTTATGGCAACCACGAGGAACTCATCTTACGTCGATGTAGAACCGGATTTAGACGGCTCTTTCGATACCTGTTCGAGAATCGATGAAGAACGTTTAACGAGACCCTCAAGCTACCTTTACTGATTCTATTTGTACCAATAGGATGTTAACCCTCTACAATACCACGGAACTTTCGAATGACACATTCATACATGTGTATTTTTCACGTTTTATTTCCTTTCGTCATCGCAACGAAGCGTAACATCTTATTGTTGCACAATTCCTTTGTATATAACTAAGCTGTTTGTTTACAGCGATTTGCAATTCCAGTTTCTCACGTTGTAGTGAAAATGTTGTTAAAATTAATTTCAAGACTGTAGATGGTGATCAAATCATGGCAATATAAGGAAAGCAGAAATTCTAAAAATATTAATATTAAAAGTAATTTGGAAAGAAAGTAATATAACTTTTACATAGTATACATATATTGTACAATTTAGTAGATAACTGAAAAGTAGAAATAACAAAATGTATATTAATTTCAATTTTCCGGCGTAAACGTTTATACGCAAGTGATTGGGGGGGGGGGGGGGGGGGGGGGGCACTTGAATTTGTAATATGTAGTATAAATGAAAGGACGTGGGCAAATAACACCAGTTTAGCCCCTATCAGCAGATTTATTGATTATTTATGTATATATTAAATCTATATCTATAGCAAAATAAGAAAACAATGTTTTGTCAAAAAATCACATTTATTAGAGACAAAAAAGTATATACAGGGTGTCCAAAACCACCCGTCCAGGGATGTTAGCTTCTCAGATAAGCATATTCGGTAAAAATGTTCGGGATAAAAGTTGCAGGGATCAATGGAGGACGTAAGTCCATGACCTTGTATTTGATCTTCTGATCCATTTTCAAGGTTATTTGGAGGTCGGTACGTGCTTTATAAATGGGAATCCCTATTTTTGACTACGGATTCTGAAAGAGCGCGAAATTTCACGTTCAGATATGTACTTATGTCCTAGATTCAAATGACTTCTAGAGGCCATTCAGAGGTCAAATCACTGTCTGATGGATGAACATTTACGAATGTTATTATTCGGTTCTAGTATTCTATCAAAACTCGAGGTCAAGCACAGAGGCCTAGTATAACGTAAGTCGACCTATCAATGAGACAAGTTTATGAATCAGATGCCTCGTTCAATCTTAATGCCTGTATTTAGTGTCATTTTTTATTTACCACTAAACAGTGATTTGACCTCTGAATGGCCTCTAGAAGTCATTTGAATCTAAGACATAAGAAATGTCGCACTCTTTCAGAACCCGTAGGGAACAATAGGGGTTTCCATTTAAAAAACACGTACTGACCTCCAAATAATCTGGAAAATGGATCCGAAGATCAAATACAAGGTCATGGACTTACGTTCTCCATTGATTCCTGCAACTTTTATCCCAAACATTTTTGCCGAATATGCTTATCTAAGAAGTCAACACCCCTGGACGGGTGGTTTTGGACACCCTGTATATATAACGATGCCAAATACTACACAGATGAATTAAAATTGACGATTTATTTTTCAAGAATTAATTGTACAAACCAACTGAATGAAAAATATGAAATAAAAAAATAGTACTGTACGATTTTACAATCATATTTTTCATGTAACTTTATCAAACATGCATACAAACTATAGAGATGCTATTCACTTGCACCAAGTGTTTTGTTTTGTGCTACATAGAAGCGCACTGTAATCTAAAATAAACTAATGCTGGGATAATAGCTTATAGAATATTCTTTTATAATAATACAAATATTGCTTGGTTCACGTTACGCTAGTTACTGAATTATTCGTATGAAGTTAACGCGCTCTTTTTGACGTACGATTTATTGTTTTATTATTAACACAAATCTTGTATGTTCGTAAAGAATATATCCTCAATAATACAATACACCGAAAATATCTGTCTACTTCCTTTTAATTTTAAAATAAAATTACCTTGGTTAAAAATATGAACTTCATAATCAGAAAAAAATATGAAATCGATTGCTTTTAGTTTAAAAATGATATTAAATTGTAAAAATGTTAAGCTCTAAAATCTAAAAATTAGTATTTTAATAGGGATATATAAAATCAACCGAAATGTAATGTTTATGGATAAGAAACGAAAGTTCAACTATTTTATTTTATTTTGTCTGTCATAATACTTTATCAATTTTTCAAGTTTTATCTATTATTTCGTTTTAATTAAAAAAGAACGCCATTTAGATCTTGATGGACACTGGAATTGGGGTGGTATAGTCACTGATTCCATTTGCCTGTGCGAAATTCAGCAATATTAAAAGATTCAATAACTACAAAAATTTATCAATACTTTTTATTATTATTTATGTCATAAGATTTACTTGCTAGATTATTCATTATTATAGAAATACTAAAAATTCGAATAAAAAACTGTTGTGGCCACAACGCCTTGTAGTAATGACGATATTATCCCACTTATGGGGTGTAATGGCCAAAAATGACATTTTCAACATTGTCATAAAAATTACAAAATTAATGAAGTTATTTACAAAGCACAAGTTGGAATGAGATAGATTAAGGATTGTAGATTGTTTATAAGTCGTTTGTGTTTCCATTTTTGATTACTAGATTACTTAAAAAAATAAATAATTTTGACAGTGTTTCTTTCCCCTTATACATATACGTTTCGTAGATCTGGTTTACGATTGCTTCAACATTAATCTGTCGACGGTTAAAATAAGAAATGTAAAATTTTGATGGTTCTGACTGTTCTATAATATTATCAATTAAAGTTTCGGTATTTATATACGTTGTGGGTCACCAATGAGCCAGGCGATATGAAAGGTAAATATACGCTGAAGATAACGACGCATCGTATCGTTTGAAAATCTGAAATTTCTTGAGTAATTCGATTTTGATTGAATAATTTACGAAGATAGGTTCGAAACAGATGGGATCCAGTAACGAGAAAATAATTGCAGTTTGTCAGAGTTTTGTGGAAGTCTGTTGAATTGTTTGATTTGCTTGAATGATGGATTAACAGCTGCAGGAAACAGGTTCGCTTTCGTTTCTTGAAAGTACACAAAGAAAAACGTGTGAAAGTACAAAAGGTGTATTGAAATTCTTTAAACAAAGATAGATTTAATGTAAGCTGGATTTTCTAAAAATTGCATCTTGTAGGAAAAACAATTTTATAAATTGTTGCAAAATTTAAAATAAATAACAGATATTGTAGTACATAATATAATATAATACAAAATATTGTTTAAACATAGCACTTTTGTCACTATGTCAAAAAGTTGTTTACAAATATAATGTGTATTTTATTTAAAAATTTTGTTACAATTATTTTCTTTTTATTTGTTTAAACTTTGTGTGCTTAAATAGAAGTGATAAAAATAATTTTACAATCATAATAATGATAATTATTACATCTTATTATTATTCTATTATATTGTATATTATTATAAACTTAATAATTACTGTTATAATAGCAGTTCTGTGACTAAATAACTAATTTGTATTGAATGAATGTACTTAAAAAATAATTGACAATTCAATTAATAAATAAAGAGTACCTTTGACTATTTAATTGGTTTCAATCAATGATGTTTCCACAAAATGGTATTCAATTTTTAAGGTAAAAGTATCACAAAGGTTGCGACAGAAAAGTGAAGGATTTTTTTTATTGAAATACCGTATGAAGAGAGTCGTCAAATTAGCATAATTGGATCTGTCGCAATTCTTCCTTGAATAGCGCGTCAGGAAAACGTGAAAAACGAGGCAATATCAGAGTAGCAATTTTCTTTGATGAACTCGACATTGATGAACCCCTTTGGTTAAGTATCATCAATAAAGGAAGAAGTAAAAAATTCATGTTTTTAAAGAACCATGATTCTATT